ATGGGGTTAAATCTCGTTCGCTGAATGGGTCCTTGTTCCAGCTTCTTAAAAGGTTGTGACCATTTACTGTTATTTCTTCTATGACATCAAACAAAATATGTCAACTTGATTAATCTGCTGATTATTTCGCGATCAATTGTTGAAGGCGAAGTCAAAGTGAAGAATGTCCACAGTGGCGTCTTCAGATTGCTCATTTTGGCCGACAGAAAAGTCCAGAACTCAAACATGTTGATGAATCAATAACAAAAAAATAGTTTATTTCCGCGTTTAATGTCATTAACAAGAGGGTGAATGGGGGTAACAACTATTTACGCAGGAAACTTTCAAACTGCAGCAGATAAAAAAAACGTTTTAGTGTAAACTGGGATTTAAGCTTTTATTTATTTTTATTGAGATGCCTCTGTTTGTATATTTTTGCTGTATGTTTTTATTTTATTTATAGAGAATTGAGACCAGGGCCCCGTTTCAGAAAGCAGGATTAGTGAAAATTCTGAGTATGTTAAACCTGAGATGAGGGAAACTCATCATAATAATCCATAGATCAGTAACTCCGGCAACTGATGCTGTGCACATCTAAAACTGTCGGTTTCTCTGAGGCAGCTGTCTGACTCACCGTTTCATTTCCTCATTCATTCTGTCGACATCAAAGCGCAAATCTGAACGCATTTACATATTTAAAAACTTTAAAATCCCGGCTGTTAGTTTTTACCCAAACATGATCTTGAACATGACCGATTTATGATCAATCTGTTGTTAATGTATGGACGGATCTCCGCACATCGTGGATTTCTCCTCAGCCCAGAATAAAATCTATGTCCGTCTTTAGGTAGGCTAAACTTTAACGCTGTGACTCTGTGGACAGCTGCACTGAAAACACTTACTGTGGGCTACATTACTGCAGTAATCACTGTTTAATACGGAACCTCAGTGATCTTTCTTATCGTAGTCGCACTGATTGGAACATTCCTGGTTATCATAGACCTACTGGAGATAATGTGACTGTGGTGCAGCTGAAACAAAAAGTGAGTTTTTCATTATTATCTGCTGATAGTCTGAATGCGTTCTGACAGCATTAATAAAATATGAAATGAGCAAGATTGTATTAATGTAAAATAGACGTCTAAAACTTTACAGTCAGTTTGAACCTTATAGACACATTTTCTGCAAAAAATAATTAATAGGCTAACCTGCTGTGTGTGACTGTGACTTTACAATCACAGGTTCACGAGTAAACTGTGTCTTATATTTGATCTATACCTATTTTCATTATCAGGTAGCCGATTGCCACCAGCATTTAGTCCCGTCGGGTTACAGCTTAATAAACATAGCCTTCCTATTTAAAATCGAATGTAATGGGCTGCAGCACTTTATCATGCATTAAGGAAAGTCTTCATATTTCTGGCTCCACTCGATTAAAATGGAGGCTCTGCCTTTATTTACCCGTTGCCATGGTGAATCGTAGTATTGGAGCTCCATCAATGAGGCTTTTTTTCCATCCCCACGCACGCACTTCCATCAGGCTCAACATACTCAAGAGTTGATTGAACTTATTCTGATCAGCAGAGTTTTCCACCTCAGGCTCAGTCAGAGCTCAGAGTTTGTTTAGCCTGCTTTCTGAAATTGAGCCCTGAATTACACAAATGATGTTTGTCAATTTAATATAGATAGATAGATAATTTTGTCTTTCAAGAAAGTCGCAGTTTGTCGTAAAACAATAAAGTTACATGTCATTTTGTTTGACACCCGTTCAATGAACTAGTCTCGCACAATATACGTCACCAACATGTTAGCGCGGAAATGCGAGCTTACGTTCTCCAGGCGGCTGTGGCTCAGGAGGAAGAGCGGGTTGGCCGTTAATCAGAAGGTCGGTGGTTCAATCTCCGGTTCCTCCAGGCTGCATGTCGAAGTGTCCTTGGGCAAGACACTGAACCCCGATGTGGCTGTTCCGCCAGTGTGTGAATGTTGTTTGCTGTTTAAGCACTTAGGCTCTTTGACAGGTGAATGCAGATGTAGTGTAAAAGCGCTTTGAGTGGTCGAAAAGACTAGAACGCCACAATACTAATACGGAGCATTTATGTTTATTGCTTTCTTGCTACTAGCTAGATAACTTAACTATGTTCCACGCAGAAATGTATCTCACCTGATAAGTTTAATCCAACGACTCCTGGTCCTTTCATCACATCATCCTCTTTTGACGTTAGCTTCAGTCACGTTAGCTTCAGTCACGTTAGCTTCAGTCATTGACAGAAAAAGTTAACGACGTCACATACGCGACTTTTGGGTTTGTGGTCTTTGTAATTATGTATTTTCACAGTCATACTTCATGAGTTTTTCATCAAACTGCGACTTTCTTGACTTTAAAATAGATCTTTTAAATTGACAAACATGATGTGTGTAATTCAGGGCACAATTCAAAACAGGATCATAATATTTGTTGTTTTCTCGCCGTTGACTACTGTACATATTTTTCATTTCTTTGTCCTTCATGTGTGGACTCTTGGAAACCATTTGAAATAAAGAAAAAACAAACCAAAGAACAGACTCAAAAAAATCAACTCTCATTTCATTTAGAAGACTTTCTGATAGTGAACAGCTGCAGCGAGCGGCAGCCGAGGCTTTAATCAGATCAGTTACGTGCAGTGCTGCAGCAGGACGCCCTGTGGCTGATAATAAAACCAGATGTTACAGAGAAGGGACTCAACAGACCGCAGCAACAACTGTACACATGTCAGAAGTTGGATTCAGTAAAAAGTCACTTTATCGACGATCAAAATGACCAAACGATTAATCGACTAATTGCTCCGTCTCTTCCTGTGAACATTCAGAGTCGAGCTCCAGGTTCTCTAATGTGAGCTTCTTGGTCTGACAGTAAACATTTAACAACACGTCTTGTCACAGTCCAACGCACCCAACATGTTAGAAGAGTGTTTTGTGTCGTACGTCCAGAAGTCCCAAATTATTCTATTTAATTAAACCTCAGACCAAGAAGCACAGCAGAAGAGCCGCCATTTTAGTTTTCTTTGGGAATTAATATCAGTGTTTTCTCTGTAAAACACCACACGATGAGCACTGACAGAAAGAAACTATGAAACTGAGGCTTTTTTTCCCCTCATTTGGTCTGGCAGGTTTCAGTATCGTTTCTGAGCGTCAGTCGACACCAAGCCTTTTTTTAGTGTTTGCTGAACACCAGATCGATGACTGACTCACCAGACGTGTTATTAAAAAAATTTAAAAAATCACTTGTGTGTCAAACTGCTGCTGACAGCATCTGTAACAGCAGCACTGCTTTGGATGGAGCTTTGAAAAGCAGGGCTGGATAAATCTTTTGAGTTGGTTTACGCCAACAAGGACTCCTTTTAAAACCCGGATTAAACTTTAAATTATGTCGCACCAAACTTTAAAACTATCTTAAAATAAAGGAAGATTCAATTCAAACCTCTTTTTAAACCTCAGTTTAGTTTTTCCTGGAAAAATAATATTAAATTTAATCCTGTCGCACCAAAATCTTTCAACTTTAGATTAAAATGTGCAATCAGCTTCAAACTTACACTTTGAGGAGCTTTAAAGCTTTAATTTAATTTAAAATGGCTTTTTCAGATGAATTAATGTTTGTTGAAGTCTGATTGAAACTTGCTGCGTTAGTTTTAGCCTTTGTTTTCCTGTTTTTCCAACAAGCTCTTGTTGAGCCACGTCTCTTCTTTCTGTTTATTTTTACTTCTTCTATTATTTGCCCATATTGCTTCATTAATTCAGCCAGTTTAAGTTCTCTGCCGATCAATCATGAGTCGTCTAACTTTTTAGCTAGTTATCAAACAATGTGGTGTTTTGTTCAGGAATACAGAGCAGCTGAAGTGAACAGTTCCCCCTCCTCTTTTATACTCTCTAGATCCAACACTCAAAAATCTGACAATTCAATTCACTTTAATAACAACAAATTCTGATATTTAGAAAACTTTCCAAGAAGGTCACTTCAAAAATATGAATGGAGTTTGGTTTGCTTTACAAAATGCCCACAAATGTCTTGATTTTCGTAGCTTCAGCTCTAATTTTATTCTTCTTTTCTTCAGCTGGAGTAAAGAAGAATGAATTCATTTCTCTTTTTTTTATTTTCTGTGGGCCATACCAGTAAAAGAGTCGATCCCACGTGGAATTACAAGACACACACACAGTGAGTACATAAATACCAACTTTTGGCAAGTGACATTCTACAAACCACAAACTGGACGTATTTCCTGAACAGAAGGAACGTTTTACACAGAAAAGCAAAATAAAAGCTCCACAACACTTTGTGTTCCAAGAGAAAGAGGCTTTTTATGAGTTTTAGTGAAGAACCTCTCTGTGAAGTTATGAAACCAAACAAAAGGACAGTTCCTTTCTCGTTCCATTTCACTCTGACAGAGCCGAGCCTGTTCTGCAACGTCTTGTTTCCAAGCGTGATGTTTAAAGATAAACACAAGAGATTTTTTTATGCTCAGCTTGAGAACGTGCCGCAGAGCGCATCACTTCCTGTGCACCAGGAGAGGTGCCCACTGAGGAGGCGCTGACAGATATCAGAGCTTTTACCTGGATGACCTGCTGAGTTAAAGCTCAGTGTTGGAAAGTTACTGTGTGCGTGAGAAAGTGTGGCTGCTGCCGTGTCGGTGAAGAAGACTCACCTCCTGCTGAAGATCCTCAGGCCGGTGAAGGTCTTGCTGGTGTGTTGGCAGCGGGGGGCGGGGGCCACAGAGGGCAGCTCGGAGGCTGGGGAGGACGAGGTGGAGGAGGCGGCAGAGGTGGAGGTGAAGTGCCCCTCTCCTCCATCCTGCAGCGAGGTGTGCTGGGCAGGCTGCTCCTCCTCCGGCTGCTGATCCATGTCCTGGCGGAGCTCCCTCTCTGCCTCTCTGCTACTTCTTCTCTCACAAACTCAGCTGGTCCGAGGTCAGCGCAGAGCTCACGCAGCCCGAGCAGCAGTCAGCCATTCTGACAGCTTCCCTCCTCTGCAGCAGCTGCTCAAACTTTTAGTTTCTCAAAGCGGCCGACACAGGAAGTACAGCTTCAGGTCTACCGTGTGCCTCAGCTAAGCTTCAGTTTACAGCAGGAAGCAGCAGCAGCAGCGGCGTTCAAAACAAAAGCAACTCTTCTGTGTTACAGCCTCAAGGTAGGAAGGAGGAGGAGGAGGAGGAGGTGGAGAAGAGGGGGGTTGCTTTTCTATAAACTGGCTTCCTAACTTCCTTCCTTCTCCAAACCCTCCCAGCCTGAGGAAGCCTCTCTCCTACTCATGCTCTCAGAACAGAGCTCCTCTTTCTCTCCACAGCACACGCTCACCAGCAAATCCAGGAAGTTTGAAACCCTGATAGAAAACACACAAACAAGAGTCTGTAGAAGGAGCTTCTTCTTCTTCTCTTCCTCTCTGTCCGACCTGTTGCTTCTCCACCTCACAGTTTTACTTTCTCTGCTCGGAGTCTCTGCTCACTCTGTCCTCTTTACTTTTATCTCAGCTCTGAGGCTCTCCCTCTCTTTTTTTCCTACGCCCCGCCCACCCCTCTTGCTCTCCCTGCTCTGATTGGCTGAGAGGGAGAGGTGAGTGCTTTGCCACCTGCTGGTGCTTCAGAGACTGTGCAGCTGCTAAAAAAAGAGGAGGAAATGAACTAATTTTCTCCTCTCCAGAGACTCAGCAGCAGCTGAGGACTAACCACACTCACAAGAAGCTGGCAAGGCCTCTGTCTGGTCTTTCTCTTCTTCTTCTTTTGTAATTAAAACAATTATTTAAGAAGAATGAGGCAGGTTTGAGGTGTTAAATAGAACAAAATTAACATATTGTGAACATAAGAGTGATTTCTCACCGTGGAAACTGGCGCCTGCCTCTCACTTGGATCACATTTCTGAAGCCCTGCTCTGCAATGTGCTCCCCTCCCACATAGGTTTTACATAAAGATGGTGAACCAGCCCACACCAGGAGAGAGAGAGAGAGAGAGAGAGAGAGAGAGAGAGAGAGAGAGAGAGAGAGAGTACCGCAGTAAAGCAGAGGTCACACGGCCGCTGCGAGACCCACGCAGAGCACTTCACCACGTGCACGTGGCGGCTTCATCCCCTGGGTTCCTGCTCCGAGGTGGAACTGAAGGATGAGCCCGGGTTATTTTTGACAGCCAATTAAAATGGAGGTGCAGCGGCCAAAAGGACGGGTGCTGAGATCGAGTCCTCTCCCTTAAAAAGATCCGTCAGACATGTTTTAAATAAAACACCCTGCTCTGAGTAGTGATTTGTTTCTAATGTGGTTTACCCTAAAATGAATCTTCCCCAGAACAGTGGTTCTCAAACTTTCGCATCAAGGAGCCCTAAACTGACAAAAATTAGACCCCATTTGACCCCAGTTTTTCAGACCCCAGATCCCCCGTCTGATAGAAATGTTGTTTTAGAATCAGATTTATTGCCAAGCAGGTTTACACATAAAAGGACTTTTCTTTGGTGCAATAAACAAAATATTTAAATATAAAGTAGAAAATATGTAGAATTTGTTAGTGATATGTAAACTATTTACTTCAAATTTACATGTGCAAACATTTAAAGCATGAACTGCAAGGGGGGTTTATAGGTCCTGGAAGGACATTAGATTGATTGGTATGTTTGATTGGTTTAGACTGGTATGTGTTTTATTACAGAAAGTGTAAAAAACCCACGAACAAAATAGTCATTGTGTTACTTATGGATGGAATTATGGTGAAAATAAACGATTCGGCTTTTTGCTGGGGACCCCCCTGGAACCACTTAGATGCCCAACCCTTTAAGAACCACTGCTCTAGAACAAGGTCTACAAGTGGTTTCTGATTCGATGCATCCAACAGCAGGACAATAGAGTCTGTCTGCAACAGTTTTATGATGTTACGCCGGGGTTAACGTTTGCACTTGGGTTAGAATGAGTACTTTTAGAAGATTATTGGAGCCTCGTCATTGACTTGTCCGGGGTGTACAATGCCTTTCGCCAACATCACTGCATACTGTTGTGTGTAGTGCTATCACTACTGAGTCATGTTGACACATTTCATCAGCCCTAATGACAATACAAATCTGACCGTCACACTCTGCCTCAGCACACAGTGCATTAGTCTGTCATATGAGGTCATTATCAGTGTAATTAAAGATCTGCACATCATAAACCGTCATCCCCATAATTACCATCGCCATCATCATCACCACCATCATCACAATAATTACCACCACCATCACCATCATCATCACCACTATGACCATGGTCACAACCACCATCATCATCAACATCATCATCACCATCATCGTCAGAACCACCACTGTCACCACCATCATCACCACCATCATCACCATAATTACCACTACCGTCACCATCATCATCATCACCACCATCGTCACCACCATCATCATCACCACCATTGTCACAACCACCATCATCATCACCACCATCGTCACCACCATCATCATCACCACCACCATCATCAACGTCATCACCATAATCACTACCACCGTCACCACCATCATCACCATAATTACCATCGCCATCATCATCACCACCATCATCACAATAATTACCACCACCATCACAATCATCATCACCACCATGACCATGGTCACAACCACCATCATCATCAACATCATCATCACCATCATCGTCAGAACCACCACTGTCACCACCATCATCACCACCATCATCACCATAATTACCACTACCGTCACCATCATCATCATCACCACCATCGTCACCACCATCATCACCATAATCACCATCGCCATCATCATCACCACCATCATCACAATAATTACCACCACCATCACCATCATCATCACCACCATGACCATGGTCACAACCACCATCGTCACCACCATCATCATCACCACCATCGTCACCACCATTGTCACAACCACCATCATCATCACCACCATCGTCACCACCATTATCATCACCACCACCATCATCAACGTCATCACCATAATCACTACCACCGTCACCACCATCATCACCATAATCACCATCGCCATCATCATCACCACCATCATCACAATAATTACCACCACCATCACCATCATCATCACCACCATGACCATGGTCACAACCACCATCGTCACCACCATCATCATCACCACCATCGTCACCACCATTGTCACAACCACCATGGTCACAACCACCATCATCACCACCATCATCATCACCACCATCGTCACCACCATCATCATCACCACCATTGTCACAACCACCATCATCATCACCACCATCGTCACCACCATCATCATCACCACCACCATCATCAACGTCATCACCATAATCACTACCACCGTCACCACCATCATCACCATAATTACCACCACCGTCACCATCATTATCACCACCGTCACAACCACCATCATCATCCGCACCATTGTCACCATAATTACCACTACCGTCACCACCATCATCACCATAATTGCCACCACTTTCACAATCATCATCACCATCATCATCACCATTATTACCATGATCATCCCCACCATCGTCACCACCACCATCATCAACGTCATCACCATAATCACCACCACCATCATCACAATAATTACCACTACCATCATCATCACCACCGTCACAACCACCATCATCATCCACACCATCGTCACCACCGTCACCATCATCACCATAATGACCACCACCATCACCATCATCATCATAATCACCACCATCGTCGCCATAACTACCACTACCGTCACCATAATTACCATGATCATCCCCACCATCGTCATCACCATAATTACCACCATCACCATCACCATCATCATCACCATAATTACCACCACCGTCACCATCATCATCACCACCATCATAATCATCACCATCATCATCACCACCATCTTCACCAACACCGTCACCATAATTGTCACCATCATCACCACCATCACCACCACCACCATCATCATCGTCACAACCACCATCATCATCAGCACCACCGTCATCACCATAATCACCACCATAATCACCACCATAATCACCACCACCGTCACCATCATCATCACCACCATCATCACCATAATTACCACCACCGTCACCATCATCATCACATCATAATCATCACCATGATCATCCCCACCATCTTCACCACCACAATCTTCACCGTCATCACCATAATTACCACCACCGTCACCATAATTGTCACCATCATCACCGCCATCATCATCACCACCACCATCATCATCACAATCATCATCACCATAATTACCATCATCATCACCGCCATCATCACCATAATTACCACCACCGTCACATCATCATCACCATAATTACCACCACCGTCACCATCATCATCACCATAATTACCACCACCGTCACCATCATCATCACCATAATTACCACCGTCACATCATCATCACCATAATTACCACCACCGCCACATCATCATCACCATAATTACCACCACCGTCACCATCATCATCACCACCATTGTCACAACCACCATCATCATCACCACCATCGTCACCACCATCATCATCACCACCACCATCATCAACGTCATCACCATAATCACTACCACCGTCACCACCATCATCACCATAATTGCCACCACTTTCACAATCATCATCACCATCATCATCACCATTATTACCATGATCATCCCCACCATCGTCACCACCACCATCATCAACGTCATCACCATAATCACCACCACCATCATCACAATAATTACCACTACCATCATCATCACCACCGTCACAACCACCATCATCATCCGCACCATCGTCACCACCGTCACCATCATCACCATAATGACCACCACCGTCACCATCATCACCATAATGACCACCACCATCACCATCATCATCATAATCACCACCATCGTCGCCATAACTACCACTACCGTCACCATAATTACCATGATCATCCCCACCATCGTCATCACCATAATTACCACCATCACCATCACCATCATCATCACCATAATTACCACCACCGTCACCATCATCATCACCACCATCATAATCATCACCATCATCATCACCACCATCTTCACCAACACCGTCACCATAATTGTCACCATCATCACCACCATCACCACCACCACCATCATCATCGTCACAACCACCATCAGCAGCAGCACCACCATCATCAACGTCATCACCATAATCACCACCATAATCACCACCACCGTCACCATCATCATCACCACCATCATCACCATAATTACCACCACCGTCACCATCATCATCACATCATAATCATCACCATGATCATCCCCACCATCTTCACCACCACAATCTTCACCGTCATCACCATAATTACCACCACCGTCACCATAATTGTCACCATCATCACCGCCATCATCATCACCACCACCATCATCATCACAATCACCATAATTACCATCATCATCACCGCCATCATCACCATAATTACCACCACCGTCACATCATCATCACCATAATTACCACCACCGTCACCATCATCATCACCATAATTACCACCACTGTCACATCATCATCACCATAATTACCACCACCGTCACCATCATCATCACCATAATTACCACCACCGTCACCATCATCATCACCATAATTACCACCACCGTCACCATAATTGTCACCATCATCACCGCCATCATCATCACCACCACCATCATCATCACAATCACCATAATTACCATCATCATCACCGCCATCATCACCATAATTACCACCACCGTCACATCATCATCACCATAATTACCACCACCGTCACCATCATCATCACCATAATTACCACCACTGTCACATCATCATCACCATAATTACCACCACCGTCACCATCATCATCACCATAATTACCACCACCGTCACCATCATCATCACCATAATTACCACCATCGTCACATCATCATCACCATAATTACCACCACCGTCACCATCATCATCACCATAATTACCACCATCGTCACATCATCATCAGCATAATTACCACCACCGTCACCATCATCATCACCATAATTACCACCACCGTCACCATCATCATCACCATAATTACCACCATCGTCACATCATCATCAGCATAATTACCACCACCGTCACCATCATCATCACCATAATTACCACCACCGTCACCATCATCATCACCATAATTACCACCATCGTCACATCATCATCACCATAATTACCACCATCGTCACATCATCATCAGCATAATTACCACAACCGTCACCATCATCATCACCATAATTTCCACCACCGTCACATCATCATCACCATAATTACCACCACAATCTTCACCGTCATCACCATAATTACCACCACCGTC